ATAATCTGTCCTTAAGGTGTCCCTTCCATAAAAGCGACTCTACTTACCTAAAACCACACGTAGCACCATTTATCATCATTTTAAAAATTTTACCATTTTATGTCAACTCTAAACTTTTAAGAATTGAATTTTACTGACTTCCGGTCAAGATTTTTCAAGTCTGGAAGTCTTTTTCTTTAAGAACACTTCAGGGACAATTATTATAAATCATGGGATGCCTAACAGAAGCAACGGGTGTCGGTTTATTCCATATGTGCGGTAAATTGGAATGGCTCAAAAATTGAACCTCAAATTACGAGGAAACCAAACTGGTACACATCGTATTCGACTTTGGGACACTGTAGGACACCCAAAGTACAACAGATATAAACATATCTCAACCCTGAAATCTGAAGTCGGCGGCAGTTTGGGTATACATCCCATTTTTCATTCAAGCCTTAATTTCTGTACTTGCTGTGTTACATACAATTTTACAGGAAAAAATGAATGGAAATAAGGAAACAAGAAAAAGGTATGGAAAGAGACACCTGAATATTTTCAAGCATATTGATTTCATCTACACCAGTATAACCCGTGTGGAAAACAAATGACTGACTGTAACTGAAATCAACTAATAAGCGACTTAGGTTAACTGAGCAGATGATTTGTATGTAAAACAAGATGCCTTACATTCGTAAGGTTAACTTTTCTACACTCCCAAACATATAATTTCCAATTAAATCCAATTTTCCATTCATTGAAATTGGGAAAGAATCATATTTTAATCAAACCTTAATATCAGAGCGATTCACAATACTCTGTTTTTTATACATTGTGACATAGCAAAAAATTTACCGTGTTTTTTGCGTACAGCGTATAGTGTACCTACCCTACGACCTAGGGGCTTCCATGTATATTCCATCCAAGAAATATACACCATAGATGACAGTCATACGAAATATTCACAATACTGGCAAAATATGCACCATATTCACGGAATATACACGATATTCATGAAATATACACCTCATATTTACGATCGGTAACAAAGATTCGACATTGCCGCAAACACATATTTTTTACATGCTTTGTATATTCTGTGAATATGGTGAATAATATACACGGATTATATGCAATATTCACGAAATATTCACACAAATACGAATGTATATTTTGACTTAAAAGCCCCTAGCCTACGACCCTAGAATAACGCTAGATTTTGCGATTTTTGGCGTTGAAAATGGATCACAAAATCTGGGGAGATCCCAATATTTTTCTTACACGACATGGTCGTGTGAAAAAGTAATGGACGACTAGGATCAAGGGGAATAGCAGTAATCTAGTAATGCATTCAATGCCGATTCAATGCCAATTCAATGCCACTAAATTCAAAACAATGCTATTCACTGCAATCCACTGCTGTCATCGATTGATGTACTAGATTACTGTTTTGACAGGAGTGGATTGTAGTGAATATCATTAATTTGAATTTAGTGGCATTGAATTGGCATTAAATCGGCATTGAATCAGCATTAAATGTAGTACTAGATCACTGCTTTCCCCCTTGACTACGATTAAATTTTAGCCAGTCGCTTAATTTGAGACGTATTTGACTGCAGTCAACTATTTATTAGATCTTTTAGCCAGTCGACTATGTCCCAAAATAATCGATTGGTTGCTCAATCGAAATGTTTTCACACGGGTGAAATATCTAGCATTTCTAGCGGAATTCGAAAGTTTCTCTTGTGCAAATGGAAAAGGTCCAAATTCATTAAAAGGAAATATTGGGAGATATGGTTTTATCCACACTGCTGCTGGCGATGCTGTTGCCTTTTTTGTTGATTTTTGTGATTTGTTAGATTATTTTGTAACAAAAGAGTGCGTGTGCGATACATTCAAAATGTTATCAAGCACAGAGCTGTTGTAATGGCCGCCGACGTCAACGATGTAACTTCCTAGCCATGATTGGATGGCACCACCGCATTACCGGCTATTGAGCGGCGGTTGGACCAGAATAAATGAAGCGTTGAGTAATAAACGAGTTCAAAGATGCTCAGCGCAGAATCGTTCAAGAATAATCCAAGTAATCAGCCACATACGTTCGTAAATAGTTTTCTTCTGGCCAATTTGTAGCACTTCACACTTGCCCCACCACAGATTCTGTGCCGTTTATCTCCTGTGAACAAAATAAAAGTGGTTCATTTGATCAACATCGGCAATTCGATACGAGTTGAAATCCAAAATCAAAAAAATCCAATACTTGGAGCCGAGAATTTCACGCATCCACATTCGATCCGCGTGAAATTCGCCACACATTCTTCTTCGCAATTGGTTTTCGTATAGATTTTAAAGAAACGCAACGGACGATCAAAGCTATAAAAACATGTTCGCTGGTGTGGCTCACATTCGCGTACTCTTTCTGAGGCGGTGATTACTTTTGAAGAGATCTTAATCTCAGTTTTGGTTGAAACCGGAAGTCGTGTGTACTTTCGTGATGGTGTCAGCGTTTCACCTGGCGCAGTTACAGTGAGTTTAAAACCCTGGTCCATTCCTCCGCATGTATAATCCAGGTTGAGTTCATAAGTTTTAAGCAATAACGATAATAGGTATACATATCCTAGATGAACCGCTGTAAACGTGTAATTTTCTTTCGCAAATCGGTTCGTGTATCCATTATCCAGGCTCCATCCTGACGCATTCGGGTTATAGTTCAATTTCATCATTCCGGAGGCCATTCTGAAAATACTTCTTTAGATCCACATTATAACAATTAATAAAAGCCATGAGCACCTACTTATCTGCGTAAAAATGAAAATGAAAATTGAGAGCATTGAATGTGAAACAAAGCCCGTCCTCAGTTAAAACAGGTAAAAACATTTGATAGCATTGTTAATGTAGTGCTAAAAAAGCACTTTTTCGTCGGGGGCATTTTGTTGCACTCATTTTGAGAAAAAATGTTTCATAATATAGAACTTTTCACATGTGTCACTTTTTACCTCAGCTACACGATTCGACAATGTGTTATTCGGGTATCGTTTTTCACTATAAATCGAAAGCCCGTAAAATTTTTAGCCGATATGCTATGCCAAGGATACAGATTATATGGAATGTATTATTTTTCCAATTTTCTCTATGACAACTAAAATGCGATGTAACAAACGTAAAATGTCGAAAAATAGTGTTAGATATAGCAATCGAAATGTGAACCCAACTTAAGATGTAACATGAAGTTTGACATTTGACAGATGACTTGACTTTGACGTTTGATTTTTCAATAAACGTTCTTCTTGTTATTACACTCAAACCGACTGGACGTGTTTCAATATTCAAAGCCATAATTTTTCTCAGGTTCTGGGCCCAGAAACGACGAAAAAGCAAAAATATTAGGAGAATTTTGAAAAAATACCATCAATGAGTATTTTGGTCGACCGAATTTCCATAAAGATTTTGTGATCGCTACGATTTGAATCGATTGAAAGTTGTCGCGTGTTGAGCTGTGTTGTGAAGCAAACGAACGAACGAACGAAAATGAGTACCGCCGACGAGAAATGTTCCGTAACGCAATTGAGAGAGCAAAAGCAATGGTTACCGTGGAAATTTCAAGTGAGAATTTTACTTCGTGCGGCTGAAATTTACGATGTTGTGACAAGCACAGACAAAGAGCCGAAATCGACCGATGTGGGTTATGATGCCACGAAACACATGGCATGGACGAAACGTGATGTGAGAGCGCAGAAAATCATTGCAACGAGTGTGATTGACGAAGCATTGCTGCATATCATGAGTTGTGAGACATCGAAGCAGATGTGGAACAAATTGCACAGTGTCTATGAGCAAAAGTCAGAATCATGTGTTCATTTGTTGCTTGAGCGATACTACGCGTTCACGAAAGATCCGAACGACGATATGGCCGCGTTTTTCTCAAAATTGGATGAAATTGTGCAACAGCTCCGTGATTTGGGTAAGACATTTTCCGAACGCCAATTGATATCGAAATCGTTGAGAATTTTGCCTGCGGAAATGAGTCATTTCAGTTCAGCCTGGGATTCGACAGCCGAAGGAGAGCGTACATTTTTGAAATTGCGCGAACGGCTCATGGTCGAAGAAATACGTATTTCGATGGCTAGTGAAGGAAATGAAATGCAACAGTCAGCGATGTCGGCACGAATGGCAAATCGATCGATAAAACCAAAGGAGAAAAGGGTTTTGAAGTGCTTTGAGTGTGGTACTGAGGGACATTTTCGAAGAGATTGCCCGAATTTGAAAAAGAAAAATGGAAATCACGAAGCGATGATGGTCCTGAGTATGATTGCCAATGGAAGAAACGATTGGTATCTGGATTCGTGTGCCACGTATCACATGTGTAGCAACAGAAGTTGGTTCACGAATTATCGCCAGCATGCTTCGTGTGCAACAGGAGGTAACGGCTGGCAACGGCGATCCGATGAACGCAATCGGAATCGGAGATATTTTTGTGTCGATGTATGATGGATCGAAGTGGAACGACGGTATTGTTCGCAACGTGTATCATGTGCCAGGCATCGTAACGAATTTGATCTCAGCCGGTCAATTGAGTGACAACGGATTCGAATTGTCGTTGAATCGAAATGGTTGCGCGATACGCAAGAATGGATTGACGGCCACAGTGGGAACTCGACACAGGAATTTGTTCAAATTGTTGATGAAAGTGAAGTCACAAGCAACAAATGTTCGACCGATTGAGAGCAAGATAGGGAAAAATGTCATAAGCAACCGATGTGTTTTGCCGAGAGTGACAGTGCGTTTCAATGTCGATGAGAATGAGAGTGACGTAACCGAAAGCGAAGAAGAAGATGTGATCGGCAGTAGCGATGAGCGTGGCGAAGGCAAGAGCGCACTTAAAGAGGCCAGCGGAACGAATGAAACGGACGATTCGATCATCGATGGAAAGCCAACACGTCTTTTGCTTGACTGGAATGAGGAAGATGCCGAGAATGCGGACAGAAACGATCAGTGGATGGATTTTTCTGGAATGTGGAAGAAAGACTCCGAGCTGATGTGATGGTATGAAAATTCAAAGAAGTTTAATTTTTATTTTGTATTTTTCAGTAGAGCCAAGATTAAATTAAGAGACGAAAAGAAAAGACGTTTCGAGTGGCTCGGTACTGAAAACGAAAACAAAATGTGAATTGAACTTGGAAATGGATAGGAGAAACAGAGAGAGAATCGCATGGCGACGAATTGAATCAACATTTGAATTTTTTTGTTTCAATTAGTTAAACGCTTTTTCGAGTAATTCATTTTAAGTTAGATTTTTGATTCATTTAAAGTTTGAATTTAGAGAGAGTTGAATTTTCATTATTTTGAATTATTTGGAAATTAACTGTTAGATTTGAACGAGAAAATGAATTGTTAGTTTGTAAGATTTACATAAGATTGAGAGAGAGTGTTAGAAATAGCAATCGAAATGTAAATGTGAACCCATCTTAAGATGTAACATGAAGATTGACATTTGTTCGAAATCGAACAACGTTTTTGAATTTCTCAATCGCGCTCCCATTTGAAGCGCGACATATAAATAACGGTCGGACCACAGTCCGGCCTCAGTCATGTAAAGATGTTAAAGTGAACGGACGAATAAACACAGAAATAAACTTCCATCGTCTTATTCTTGTTAGAGCTAGCATTTATTTTTTCAGTTTCCTTTTCTTTATTTTGATTCAAACACAATTTGTTGGTAATCCCAACAAAAATGGAGGCCCCGGCG